TAATATAACCCTTGCCAGAGGTATACAAGTAATTAAACATAATCCCAGTTGATCGGAAGATATCATCAAAGTCATAGAGTGTATAAGAAATGGGACTCTACATTGATTTTTGTTATGTTTGATCTGGGTAGGCACTGCTCAAGAAATCGAAAAACGTTACCACCACGGATACAAACAAGTTATGTACAGGAACAAGTTTATTAAATTTCATCGTTGTCGCAAAATTTATAACGTATATAATATTTGTTGTGGCTACATGTACCTAAGTCTCGTGTCTTCTACAAGCAAACAATATGGTTCAGTATGAGTGAGTCAGTGAGTTTAGTTGTACGCCGCACTCAGCAATACTCCAGCTATATCATATGACAATATAAATGGCAAAATCTCCTGTCGATATTGCCGAAAACGGTAAGATCAGTGAAGAAAAACCATCCGCTCGAATCATAAATGCCAGCGTGAAAAACATATTCATTCCTAGGTTCAGTTTAACATGGCATTCCCAAAATATGTAGTATATAAAATAGCCTTCTTAAATGTTGTAACTTGGGGATAGTTCTCTTTGGTATTTTAATTCAAATCATTATTATATGACAGGGGCTACACTCAGCCAAATATTTATTGATTATTAGTGTAAATAATCTTCTTTCTAAAACATCCTAGTAATATACCTAAATAAAAGGTTTTCAGTTTCTTGCCAAGGATTTGACCAGATACGTTTGAAAGTTAAATCATTCAAGCATCAATGTTAAACAGTTTAAATCTGTTTGATATCCCAATGATATAATTGCGGTTAGGTTCTATATGGCCTGTTGATACCCATATGTAATAAATAATAAGCATGTTAAATTATGCTCTACCTGGCAGGTTCTAATTAAGACAGATTTGAAAATGTGTGTATATAACGTGGCATGAGACACTACAACCTTCCTGTTTACATTTGTACCTGCTTTGAATGGTTAACAGGATAAAATATGCCGGATTTTGTACATACACATGTGTGTCGTGTGTCGTGCAGCGAGAGCGTGTTTAAGGTTGCTGATCGTGCTGGATATTGATCATGAGGAAAAGATGTGGTTGGATGTGGGAAATGACAGGAAGGAACGTTCATCACGGAGATAAGACCTCAGCTGTCAATTCACGATCAATATTCAAAATACCCACGTAAATATTCATTCCTTCATAGTCAGCTCATAAATATTTTTTAGGAAAACCTCATCAGAATCCATGCAAAAAGTAACCAGTTGTATCTTATTGTAAACTTTGATCGACTCAGGGTGCCCAGTCGATTTAATATGATACATCCTATTGTGTGATCAAAGTTTTTTTCACTGTTCTGTTACACATGGTGAGTATTGTATTATGTTATATCGTCTTTGGGAGGAAGGTCTGAAGTGACTCAAGTCACAGACGTCTAACACTGTGGTGAAAGCAATGAACGCGAGCACGATGGTAAAAACAATCAAAGATAGAATTAATTTTGGATTCAAACCAATGATCAGCAAATCCCCGCATAGCTATTCTGCGCATCAGGTTTGGTAACTTTTTCGCCAGAGGGTAGTGAATGAACTATTCGGATACATTGAGGAAAGTGCAGAAACTAATAGGTACCAATACGGCGGATTCAAACATGTAATCTCGCCATTGTTGTTCACCCGAGTCAAAGAACTGTATGAGCAAGCTGTTTAAACCCAATTAGCTGGAGCTTGTATACTTTAATCCCAACGCATTACAATTCCACTTTGTGGGCTTCGAAACCGCGGGTGGGAGAAATCTTAACGGAAATAAACACGCCGCGACAACCCCGTGAAACAAGAGTATTGGGTGGGATAACGTACTCAATGATTTCCAACCCTGAACACAATGACACAGTCATTGCAACAAGCGACCGTGAACTAATCACTTACAAAAAAGACCAATCTGCTCCTATGGGGGAAAACAAATATTTGGCAATCAAAACTTGATACGGAGTTTAATGCAAGAGCAGGTTCTGTGACAGTACCACTTACTTTGACACGTTATGACAAAGTGTTCGAATTACGCGTGGTCGATAGCCGGATATGCATCATTTCACATGCGCAGTTCCCCTATTTGACAAACAAGCAGACGATATCCGGTCTCTGGCAGTACCCAATGTGTTTTCACGCCATGTTGACAAATAATTCAATGTTCAAGCATGACAAAGGCATGGAAAACTGTTATGTACGTTATAAATGATTTATTTAGACTAATATTAAAATGATTGTATTCGCTGATTTAATAAAAGCAGGTCATGTTCGTCATACCTGTACATATAACATACGAAAACACCCCGTTAATGCGGACATTGCCAATCAAAACGAAAAAAAAGGATCATGGTAACAGATCTTTTACCGCTTGTACAACCATAGTGATTTACATAACCGCTCGGAATGTGGGGTTTTCGGGTTCACGAGGTCCGATTTAAAATAAGTACCAACTACTTTGAAAATAAACACTGTTGTCACTACTACTACTGCTGCTGCTACTACTACTACTACTACTGCTGCTGCTGCTACTACTACTACTGCTGCTGCTGCTGCTACTACTACTGCTGCTGCTGCTACTACTACTACTACTGCTGCTGCTGCTGCTGCAACTGCTACTACTACTACTACTACTACTACTGCTGCTACTGCTGCTGCTGCTGCTGCTGCAACTACTACTACTACTGCTGCTGCTACTACTGTTACTGTCACTACATCCGTACGTAAATTACATTTTTTCATTCGTTTAAAACTCAGAACTATTCAATACATATTAGAAACAGACTGCACGCAAACAAAAGGTAATGCCGGGAGTAGGCCACCCGTAATGAATAATGTACACACATTCACGCCTGTCGACCAAGATAGCAGACCTTTCCATCGACCCATGTAAGTGGGGAATCGACTGAGGCGAACACACGTTTAGCCGGAGAATAAACTGATAGAGCGAGTGTCGACTAGATTCATTTCTCTTTGAGGCTATTTGTCATAAGTGTATGTCAACATTGTTGACAGCATCAATTCACACCGCGATTAATTGCAGAGATATGTCGTCCACGACTGATTCTGAAATACCTCACGCGAAATGAGATATAAACCACTTCAAGTATGTTATTGTAGTAATGGCAATGATATAATATCAACATTTATTCTGACCAGGAGTTGTGAAGACATCGTTCACTCGCAGTTCAATATAATTCAATGTGGGGATATAAGATGAAAAGGACATTATTGAGGTTCGCCTATCGATACGGAGACCTCATGCGGGTATATAATCTGTGCAACCAACCGGAAGCAAGAGTCTGCACAAGGAGCTCTTACCACCCGTAAGTTCGGCCAGTGGGAATGTCGGTTTGCCACCAGCCACATGTGCTGGGCTCCTTTTACAAAGCGATCATTGTACTAAGGTGATATACTTAGGTATCACATAGGTATCACATATCTCCTATACTTTAACATAGATTTGTGACTGTCGTAACGCTAACATCGCTTTGTGGGACAGGGCCCTGGGTACCGTTGAACAAAGCGTTGACCTTATCATAGACTTAAGTTAGTCTTATCGCTAAGGTTGTTTTGTACAACGGCACCCTGGTCGTTAGAGGAGACCAAATAGATCGGGTGGTCAGGCTCGTTGACTTAATCATCGTACCACCCACGACGTGCATCGCTGGTATCAACGTCAGTCACTGGATTGTCTGGTCTCAAGTCATTTTTATACAGGACGTCGTCATACATGTCACTGAGAATATGGCCGTGCGGTGTTACACAAATACATGAACAAACAATCACGTGGCATCCAAGAACAATGCATTTGCAGGTAACTTTCTCCTCAACAAGCTAATGTCACTTATGAGCCCTGAGACTATCTTGATGAGCAAAGCTATCTTACAACCTTATTCAACTGCAGTAAACTATGCGATCAATGCAAGGATCTCGTAACAGAAGACAAACAGAAGAAAAGAGTTTAAGGCAGGCAACAAATATTTCATCTTCCATTAAAACGAATCAGTGTTAACATAGATCAGCAGTTAGTGGCAAGAACTGAAAAATGAAAACATACAATCTTCCGACGGTAGAAGAATTTACAGGTGGCAGTAGATTAGAATATAACACACTATTCAACAGGTTCCTTAATACATGCTGACAACTGTTTGACCAAGAAAAATTAATCTTATTTCCTTAGGTAAAAAAATAGAATTCAACTCTTACCCAGCCTGCTCCCCCCGCAGTGCCCATTGCTACAACCTTCCACAACGTTTTCACTGTCATTGTCAAAGAAATTCATTTGATGAAACATTTTATATGCGTTTATACATTTCAAAATTTATCTTAATGTTATTCATGCCTTTGCCGAGAGCTGAAGCGGGAACAAGTCATTTTAACGTTCTTGTAGATGCATGCATTTGAAAGTCCAAAGCAGGAATTAGAATATACCACCCAAGTCACGAAGGTATTGAAACATACAAGAGAAAAACACGTGTCATACAGGTGATACCCTGGCTGAGAAAAGGGAGAGTGATGCCTTGCATTCCTTCGTGCGCTTTTTACATAAAGTAATTGCTGTTCTATTACATAAAAACGAGTGGCATGAATTGTACGGACATATATTCTGTTTATAAAATACAGTTCAACTATACACATACATTATACATGAGTCACCGTTGAAAGTTGAAATACCAGTGTTGGATTATGATATTCTTGCTTTTCTCTTGAAGTCAGTATAGGTCGGATTTCTTAGAAAACAAGTACTTTTCTTAGAAGTAGTACTGCACTTAGATGACAAGGGCGGTGCAATGTGAACACGATTTTCCACTGCCTTTTATTAACACATACTTCAACATTGTAGCCATTTCGTTCAGTAGTTACGTACATGTGTAGGCTATCAGTGTTTTTAAACAAAGAGAAATAACTCCTTCAATTCACCCCTCATACCTCTCTCACCCCGACGTGTGACGGCTGACAGGTGACAGGTGATTGACAGCTATTGACAGTACTTACTCTGAAGTGTGAGGCGCGGGAGGGAAGGCTCCGGACATGCTGAAGTATGGCCTTTTTGATGTCTATTTCACAACGCAAAACCTTTTTCTTCAAAGTTCAGCTTATCACTTTCAATGGGATCTATTTCTGTCGACCCTGCTGCTTGAAATGACCTCAGCGAAGCACGCTAACCCAACTTAAGAAAGGCCAGTTTTACTTTTACACTAGCGAAAGATCTCCTGTTAGAAACTAACAGATTAATCGTGCAGTGTTGCTAAGCTATGCGTCAGTAGAGATTAGCCCTGGAGTTTTTCTCTCTCGCCCCGACGCCATTAACACTTATACTCTTCAGGCAATACCAATCCCCGTTCTCTAAAACGGTCAGGATTTAATTACGTAAGGTTCAGATATACGTTGGTAAAGAGACTTGCTGTCAGACACAGACGTTGATTGAAAACAGTCGCATAAAAAAGTACAAGTAAACGTCACAAAAGTGACGTTTCACTTAGAACAACTGGCTTTTATCACGTGCATGCCCTTTTATGTTTTGTAACACCTGTTAATAATACCTTCTATAGGTGAACAATATGTATCTTAAATATTATTTTTCTTAGGAGTTGAGGGGCGGTGAGGTAGCCTAGTTGTTAAGCGTCCGCTCGTCGCGCTGAAGATCCAGGTTCGATTCCCACATGGGTACAATGTGTGAAACCCATTTCTGGAATATTGCTAAAAGCGGCGTAAAACCATACTCACTCACTCTCTATTAGGAGTTGCATTGTGTAATAACACAAAGTTTTTTGTGAACTTTGGGCTGGATGACAACCTGAATACAGTTGTAGATTGCCTTGGTATTACATGAATATAACTAGAACACGTACATACTTTGCGTCCGTAAATGTTTTCATTTACCTTTTTACCCCACTCCCTGGGGCGGTGGGGTAGTCTAGTGGTTAAAGCGTTGGCTCGTCACGCCGAAGACCCGGGTTCGAATCCCCACATAGGTACTATGTGTGAAGCCCATTTCTGGTGTCCCCCGCCGTGATGTAGCTGGAATATTGCTAAAAGCGGCGTAAAACCAAACTCAGTCAGTCAGTCAGTCATTAACTCCCTTCCCATGTCATGTGCGAATAGACCCATTCGTCGTAGGCGCTGCTATGTGTTGTGCAGAGTTGTGTCCCTTGGGCATTCCTGAAACCTGTGGTCATGGGTTCGAATCCAGGTTCGCCCCGATTGTCTTCCTATGTTTGTTAGCCCCGTGCCAAGCCTGGGCGCTTCACCTAAATGGTAAACGTATGAAATCAGCATCACTTACAGCTTTCTCTCCAACATTCAGGTAAAACTCGGTTACTGTCCGAAGCGGCGTTAATCCAAAACCACTCACCCACTCGTAGAAGACTCGCGACGGGTTCAGTGCCATTTTAACAACAACGTGTGCTCATTTTATTTCCCTCTTCATTCGAGTGATTTTACGATCGCATCCCGCTCTTAGCATCACCTCGACTCAAATCGTTTAAACTCAGTGGACACTTTGCTTTTCATAGTTAATAGGAATGTTAAATCGTGGAGGTCTATATTCAGTTTCATTATCTCTACCATGTGCTTGACCGTTTTGGATCCATTCCATACAATTATCCCTGAGATGCCTTTATCCAATGTTCCTGGTATCCATCGCATGCGTGTTCCTATGTTCTTGATATCTCGAGCACGCGTATATTCAGCCTGAAGCAAGAGGGGTTTTCTTTCAAACACCATCATCCATTTTACCAGGTGTGCTGAACTATGTACACAGATTGGACAGAACAACAAACGTCAGGGCTGAACAAGAAGACGACATTATCATACGAAAAGCTAATGTATTTCATTATTGATGGGAAAAGTGCTTAAGTGTGGCCCAAATCCTGAGGGTATCAAATGTTTTGAAATGGGTATTCCCACCACACTGTGTAGATAAGTCGCAAGTCAGGTCTTAAAGGCCTCGCGTCGCCGTCGTGTTGCTCTTATGTGGGTTCAGCCGGCCGTCTGAACACTGTCCCAGCTTCACGAAACATCGATCACATTGTTCTGTGGTGACAATAACTAAGGTCAGATAACTCTAAATCACACTTTCTCTTCGCCCACGTATCCGGTATTTTACGAGCGCCTCGATCATTAGCTCATAGCCTAGCTATCATCACTATTCAAAAACCTACAATCTACGTACTGCCACATAACACTATACACGTGCTGAGGTGGATGTAATTGTTGAAGTAGTTCGATGCTGCCTCCATGACAACTTGTCATATATGTTTTTGCATGCTTTCCCCGGTGTGGTTTGAAAGTATTACTCAAATTTGTCTAAAGGTCATATATAAAAATATTCTTGTTTCTCACACATTACCGTCGACCCGACCCTAAGTTTCTATTTTTTACACTAGAGAAAAGGCAAAACTGACTCTCAAAATGTGCATGAATTTTTCACACTTCTAAGTTTTAATTTTCTATTGGAGAAAAAGTGTAAATTTCCACAGAAATCAAGGGGTTTTGAAAATAAAATAAAATAAAATGTAAAAATATAATCCGCCCGTCCGACCCATATCTTTTTGAAAAAGTGATGAGAAACAAGAATATTTCTTGTGTGGCCTTAATTTGAAGATATAGAACTAATCGTTAGATAAGGTTCACTGTATCGATTTCTCTTTTCTCCGGACGTCTGCACATACAGATGCGAGGGAAATAGAGTGGCCAAGGCCTGTATTGGTGAAAGTCCAACGGAAGCGAGCAGGAAGTCAAGTCTCTTGTGACAGGGCGAGTTGAGCAAGAGAAGCCCGACAGCTGGCATTGCAATTAGTGAGTGAGTGTGGTTTTACGCCCCTTTTACCAATATTCCAGCAGCATCAGCTGTCCGGTAGTACATTTTCCGAAAAACAATTAAACTCCTTGAGCTACCCTACATTATGTTTGTAAAAAGAACAATATATTCACAATGAGTAAGTGAGTGAGTATTGTCATACGCAGCTTTTTTGCAATATTCCAGCAACATCACGGCGGGGGACACAAGAAATGGGCTTCACACATTGTACCCATCTCGGCGTGACAAGCGAAGGTTTTAACCACTAGGCTACCCCACTGCCCTGTTTGTAATTAGATAACTATAGAAGCAAAATGGAGTCGCGATGCGGTGGTTTTTCTGTTAAGAACTAGATGGTCCTGTTAAACGTATTGCCAGACAACCCTAGTTAACAAACTACATTGTATTTCAAATATAACTGATAAGCACACTGTTCTCACTGAACAGTGCACTCTGCAATGATTACAAACTTTGTTGACCTATTGTTTGGAAACTTGCTTGAGAGGCATTTAGAAGTTGGAGCCCTGACGAAGGATAACAACACATGTATGAGGATAACAACACTATATGGATGCACAACTTCTTTATTGCTGTGAGAGCGACGTTTCGCTGTAGGTTCTAACACAGGTATTAAACAAGTGTCTTGTTTCTTATCACTTGCTTGATAACGGTGTTAGAACCTGCACCGAAACGTCGCTCTCACAGCAATAAAGAATGAACATAGAGATTTTTTCTGGGTTACATCTTCTTTTTATTCTCGAGTACAATAAAATAAAATAAAAATAATAAAAAAAAGATGTAACCCAGAAAAAATCTCTATGTTCATCAACTATCATGCCAATCAAGCAGCAATAAAGAAGTTGTCACCCAGAGCCTAGATTTTCGAAGCTCTCTTAGCGCTAAGATAGTCGTAAGTTAATGTTAATGTATGGCAATTACGACTATCTTAGACTTCCCCACAACAAACATGGCGACTTTCATGAGGGCACTCGCCCGGTAAGGTCGAACACTTAGTTTTGTTCGTTTTCGTCACCCAAACCTGCAACAATCAGCACGCTTTATTTCAACCTCAAACAAACAAAAGACAGTTCCCACCACAGTCGAACCAATGGAAAAATCCGAAGAACTAAAAAGATTAGAAAACATTTTGTTGACACCAATCCAGCCTCAGAAAAGAACTGGATCAACCATGGTTATGAGTCAACAGACCCTCAGCTGGACTGGTTCTTATGCGCGTTAAGGATATGCGACCATTAAGTCTTGTTAAAGGGAGGGTTTCAGGGCTTTCTGTGAACCATTGAACCCAAATTACCAGGTCCCATGTATTGCGATAATTCCCAACTACCTCATAAAGTCGTATGAAGTTTGCAAGGAGAACAAAATATCAGTACCCAAAACAGTACCTGCCGTTGCCCTAACTACGGACGCGTGGACAAGCGTAACCACTCACGGCTGTATCACTGTCCCTGCCCACTATACCTATGTTTGAACAGCTTGTTTTCTACATAGATATTCAGTCGTTCTTATCCAGCGTATTTCAGTGTTACATATTCAACAATCAACACATACATACGCATTCAAAATAACATTCACACTGGAGACCTATATCCTTAATAGTGAAAATTTTAATCACAATGAATACCATTGACGTGATCTCCGTTCAGCAGAGTTTCGGAAGAAGAAATACAGCGTAGTGTTACTCAATAAATGGTTAGTCTTTAGTTTGAAACCAAACCGTTTTCACTATAAGAAGTCTCAAATAAACAACAATGCTGTTTTACATATTCTTTAAGTTCCATAGTCGATCCATCTTTACAACATACTAGTATCTAATGCAGCACCAATCAATGAATGCTTTATCTATGTATCTTCCAACTTTGGAACGTGTTTTGCCGCATTTTAACCGTGATTAAGGTTAATTGATTATGTGACTTATCGTCCAGGTGAATGTTTAAAAGTTGCTAATATGTCATAACTGCAACGACATATTAATATTAGATAATCTTGAAAGCGCAGTCAAACTTAAAACCAAAGAAAAGAGAAGTAGATTGATTGGTTTCTTTTCCCGGACACATCCAATCATATTACAGCATTTACAGGCGTAATAAGGTATCACCGGCCCAGCTCATGAATATTAATCACATAATTGATCGCGTAGAACTGGGTCACAGTGACACTTACGTTGCCTTCACATTCTGTTTGCAAATAGAAAGGTAATAGATACTTCTATTGACATTGAATATCATGGACTCGCTGGACTGGTTTGTCCACAGAATCACCATGTTTCTGACAATAACAGTATCAATAACAGTATGCATTTGTTAGGAAGGCTTCATCCTTGCATACTAGTCTGACTTTGTAGGTACCTTAGTTGGTCCACAAGAGAAGCGTTCCTTGAGCTCAAACAACGAGAAACTTTCGGAAGGTCTTCCTTTGATGGACCAAGAACTCATTGAAAAGGAAAATGTGATTGCATCCCTACTTTCAGATTAAGACCTTGGTGACATAGATATCATATAAATGTACTGTCGTAACACTCTGATGGAGGTGTAGTGTATGCTTTGTGACAACCTCCATTCATCATCAGGAAGCTTGTATGCTGACATCTCAAACATTTTTTAGCTTGCAGTTACACTTCATTAATTGTTTACATATATTAGTCTAGAATAATTTATCAAATCGTTTAGTTAAAACAAAACACTTGAATGGGACGCCATAGTGCTATGTTGAAGATTAAATAAATTATTACAAAAGAAAAAAGGTTGTCATCCATACATTGTTATCCTTCCTTATTATTTGAAACCCAGCTACGTATTTGTAACGATAGGTGTTTCGACAAAAATCCGATTTCATAAGGACAATGTATGAAGAGAATACGTAATAATCGTCTTTTAAAAGAATGTCTTGTCCAGACTAGTTTATACAGGTGGCCGTCATATTGCTGAACAGGGCGTTAAACAACAAACAATAAATTAAAAGGTCATGTCAGTTAATGTAGGCTACAGACCAATATCCCTTACAAGATTACCACGCAGTACTTGACGGACACCGTGGAATTGGTCTTCAGTAACCCATGCTTGTCAGAAGAGGCCACTAACGGGATCGTGTGGTCTGGCTCGCTGACTTGTTGATGACTGGATTGTCTGGCCCAGACTTGATTATTTACAGACCGCCGCCATATAGCTGGAATATGCTGAGTGCGGCGTTAAAGAAAGAAAGAAAGAATTACTGCCATATGTGAATTCTGCTATTCGGAAGATGGTAAACTCCGAAACAGAGAAGAGATCGAAACAACACAAAACTTGGTGGACACTCGCATCTTACAGCCAATCTACGCATTCGTTATGAAATCAAATAGGTTTACACAATCCAATACTTAAATTATGATTTAATACCATATATCGAATTGCCTACATCATATGGTATATGCACCTGTTATGTTATGTTGTTTTTTATTTACAAAAACATGTTTGTAGAAGGCTCATCGCAGTTGAAGGCCCTCGCAACGATCTTTGCTCCAAGTTTTCAAATCATATATCATTTAGGTGACGTCCGTTAACTTCTCAAACTTGCTTGTATTCTTTTCCTCATCAAACTTTTAACCAGGCGGTGCAGAGGTTTTAGATGCAGATGTAACGTCGCACCATGTGTACGTATGTGGCAAAAATAACAAATTATATATATATAACATTGGCGGATCCACCAGAGGAAACGACTTACAACCACATTGAAGATTTTCTTTGCGCTGGCGGAACCAGTGGGGGGTTCAGGGGGTTCGAAGCCTCTGACCACCCCCCACCCCCTCCCCTTTCAAAATTTCTGGATCCGCCAATGTTAAAAGACCTTACATCTCGCTGCTACTTAAAGCTTTGTTTAGTAGTAACGATAACTAATTAATATCCAATTTAGGCCATTTAATGAGAAGAATTATCTGCCATTTTCATTATTGAGCAATATTATTCTTACTCAAGGTATTTCGAATAGCTTTATGGGCCTTGATTTACATAAAACATCAATTTTCATACCCCATATTATGTCCAATCGACCTGGTGAGCTACAAGGGTCATGGAACTTTGTCTACATCATAATTACAAGTATAAATCATTTTGAGGGTGTATAACATATATATATATATTATGATGTTAGTTGTTATACTTATCGAAGTGCGCCGAATATCCGCTGACTTTGGTACAATGCGGATCAATACACGGTCATGCAATGCTTATAAGGAATCACTTCGACAGTTGAAAACAGAACATACGATGAAAAACAAAAAGCAAAACGAAAAGGCATGAGTAAACGGATGCACTTTGTCACGCTGAAAGTCCACGACTTCATTGGTTTTCACCAGAGACCATATGGTCCTGTTTTCACAAACCTTTATCGTCTAAGTCGTAATGCGAAACTAAAGTACTCTCTAACCTTTGCATACGAAACTCAAACTAAAAGCCAGCTCTGCAACGGACACAACGCCATATTGAAAGTTCTCTGCCGTTGTTTCGAAGTGTGAACCATACCTCGAGCGAATGGCTGGTGGTTTACCTCGCCGAATTTGTAAAGTGAGAATTGACTTAAGTTAACTGATTCATAGATTAACATTTTTGTGAGTGTGGTAGGTACATGGTCGGTAATAATGGGCTGTTTGGCTAGTAGGAAGTAGCGGTCAGTGCCTTGGGCGTCCCAATCACCACGCGAAGATTATGAAGTAGGTTCTTATATATTAAAGATTACGCGAGGAAGTCAATCGTTTGCAATGTTGTCAGGTTAAATCTTACAGACTGAAATAATGTCAATATCGATTCGATTTGTATTTGGTCTATTTTGACAGGGTGAACCCTGACACTTGTCAAAATTCCGCCGCCGATGACATGTCACGACCTCAACCGGGAACAATCTCGATTCTCGTTTCACCAACTTAGATTAAATACGACGATCTGTAATTCGGTTTCACTGAAAAGAATTTTAGCTTTACACAATCACACAATACCCTGATGCGCTATTCACAGTCAGTCCAGTGTTTGAATGACATGATTATACAATGAATATACAATCATAACATTACCGAAATGATAGCATGTATATGTCAGTTCTTGACATATAGTGCATGCATACACAGAGTGCCAATCAGGTTGTGAGGCATAGTTGATGTGAAACATACATGGAGATTATTACTTGAGTATGTATGTCATCCTCATTTCATGAAACTAAACTAAGTCCTGTTATTCTTAAGTGAGACAGATTTGCGCCAGTCTTTAGAAAAATGTGCTGATCACAAACACTGTCTTAGAAGATTGCAATTTATGAATGGTGTTATCATTTTAAGAGTAATGTTATTCCAAACTACCCTACAATAAGATCTGAATGGCGTCAGTAACGTCATCCAAATGACATAAACAAGACACCGATAGATGTGAAATAATGTTTTACCTAGTGCATAAATGTTTATGAAATAGGTTTATTCTTACCTTATGGGTAATAAATGACAAGTTTGTCAGAGGATTGCCATGCAAACCATAAAAATGTCAAAATTGTGACTGTTTTGTTTAAAGTAAATGTGACATGAATAAACACCTTTGATACCTGTATGATCAGGTTTTGTTCACATGCAGATCTAGATCTGCAGTGTAAATATGTAATTATAATTCTAGTGTCACTAATCAGCTATTTATTATGTTGTTATTGGTTCTTCACTAAAATATACTTTGTAATTGTTATATACATGATATACTAGGGGGACTTGAATGGAAATTTTGTGTTAACTTCTTGACTAAAATGTTTATTTAGTTATTAGCTAAATGGTTCCTGACGTATGTGGATAAATATTCTCTTTATAGACCTTCTGTTAATCAATTTAATTCAAAGTATGAATTTGGCTGATCCATTAGCATTATGAAATGTTCTATTTGTTTTGACTTTAAATCACAGGCTCACAGTCACATTTTGCTTAATTTGCTAGGGTTTGCGCCAGTTAATAGCTTAAGCCGGTTAAGAGTATTAACTTGTATTTTATAAGCTTTTGTCTCTGTCTGCTGTACAGTGGGGGTAGAGGAAAGATTGCAGGAGCAGCCAAAGTTACTGCTGAACAACTTGATCACTACAGCCTCACCAGGTGTCAGCTCCATTTAGCAGTTAGTGTGCCCCCTGTCAGGATTATTCACTTTGTTTTAGATTCTTAAATTATGCCATGCCATGCATAGTGTATCAGGTCATGAGGCCAGGTCATGAATTAATTGTTAGCTCAGAAACTCATTCAAGTCTGTTCATAGTTATTAAAGGTCACATAAACCCTAGGGGGTACAAATACATAAATCACTAACTGGCATCGTTATAAATGAAACCCTGTCATTAAAACTACTCATTTCGACCTTTAATTGACTTAAATCGACCTTTTTGACAACAGTGCACAATTCTCACCCGCGAACGAAATTTCAACCAATCAGAGTGGCGCGCCTCTGTGACGTCATATGAGGAATAGCTTTGAGAGCCGATGCAGAATTCACCTACATTTTAGGGGGTAAATTATCGTGTTTACAGGCTTGTATAAACCTGAAATCGTGACAATTGTTGTGGAAAATGAAAGCTATATGTTCTCACAATCTACTGTCATTTAATTTTGTCTCCTGCTTTGCCTAGTTTCTGAGTTACAACTTGTTTTCATAGACGATTCTGTCAAAATCGATTGGTGTCGTTAGGCCCTATTTGTATAATGACTGATCCAAATTGATCCCATTTCTGTGTTGTTTTACCTCGATATTTAATCATGTCATGTAAAAATCTGTTTGTATTCTCAAAACAGTGTCGGCCCATAAGTTTTCACATGCAATACAGCAATTAATACTCCCTCGTTGTAACCCGTGTTAGGTGGTATAAACCTACACATGTTATTTGTCATCATTCACTTGATGGTCAGTTAATGAATTTATAACAGGTATAATTAGTGGTAACACACTTAGATTACCGACAAAGGTTCCCATTTGGCATTTCTTGTGTCTGGAGTAAATATTCAACATTATAAACATCGATCAAAGGATTAACCGATAACACGCTGATTGATTAATTACTTTTATCTTACACAGCGGAATTGTCAAAAGGTAGTGTTTATGTATGTAGATTTACTAATCTATACTGAATACACTCTGTCGTGTCGGTGTTCGCGTAAAAACAACGCCCTTCTTTCAAAGGATTAACCGGCAATACATTGATTGATTGCCCATTATTGGCTAACTAAATTACTGTTTTTAAAGAAAGGCGGACATTATGCAATTAGTTGCCAGGTGTGCTATCTTGGGTGACCAATGAGACTATACACCAATACCTGAAAAGGTTTATCACTTTTTCGTATGTTAAACTGTTAAAAGACACATCATTTGGAACAGTTTTGTGGATATTGATGGATACATTCCTCGAACAAGGTAATGGCCTGATATTGTTCCTATAACTTTAATCTGTTTTAATTTTAATATTTGCATTTTGTTTTTATTCATTTGTCGTAGCATTCAACAGAATCATTGTTTTCGCCAAGAAGTGTAATGAGACAGACAACATGCACTAGGTGTGTGTGTGCGAATTATGATTCACATTGGCAAACTATAAAATGTCTAGATATTACAGTTCTGTTATAAATTCACTGTAAGTATCAGCAGATCGTCTGCTTTTTATTTAGTTTCAAAATGCATACAAGTGTGATAATAAACTAATTAGGATTATAAGACCAAATATAAAGATGCTATTACATTGACTAGTATCTACATACTGGTGAGTGGACATTAACCATGGGAATGTAGCAAGAAATTTATCGCGCAGTATTGTGACTTGACCCCACCTCGCCTCCGTGGAAGAAATCGTTATGTTATAAGTTGTGTCATGCAAAATCCGTTTGGTTATGATTCCAATACATATTTAACAACGAGTAGAAAGTAGTCTTGATTTTCTAACTTGATGAAAACAAACTATAATCTCATTAATTCTAACAGATTTTTTATTTTTAAAATGGCGGGCCCTGTCAGGAAAATCCGCCAGTCTGAGGATAAATGGTATTTAGGTTTGTTTTCACCGAGTTAAAATCAAAACTACTTTTCTACTGGTAGTAAAATATGTATTTTATTGATGGCCAATAGGATTTTGCATGACATAGCGTATATCATAACAATTTCTCTCGTGGCAGCGAGGTGGGTGTCAATATAATACTACTTACAATATTATTGTTGCCGACCACAACCTCACTTCCGAGGAAGAAATCGTTATGTTACAAGTTGTGTCATAGAAAATCTTTATGGTCATCAATCATATGCATATTTTACTACAACTAGTAAGTAGTTTTGATTCTTTAACTTCCGTGAAGCGATCTGAACACAAGTAAGATATCGTTTCAGGCTTCCACAACGCTAAACCGACTCACAAACATAACCCATTTAGCTTACGAACTGCGGGGTCCTGTGGAAATCTGTGCATGGGGACACCATTGCCCGACCCTAGAGCAATTGGCGACAAAGCAACGATTCGGCATGTCGTCGTTGATGTCGAGAAATCATCAAAATGTTGAGCGTGCTACACATTTTATATACAACTAACTGAAAATCGTTCCTCATCTGACGTCACTGCAGTGCTCTGGCGACAGAGTTACGTAACCTGTCTGTGGTTTCGTTGGTGGGCGAGAGGGAAGCAGGCGACTTTTTGGCCACTTTTAATCGCTCGGTATTAATTAACCACAAGTTTTTAAAGAATAAATTTGGTGTTCCGCATAAGACTAACCACAAATCTTTCATATGTAATGGTTAAAAGAGTAACAAAAAACAAAGTTTAGTGGTTCTTTAAGAACATTCCATATGCTTTCTCTTCGTACACAGTAGACACTAGACAGAGCCAAGCTATGACTGAAATATTTGATGGTACCAGTGAAATTGTATCTGGAATGTACCAGTGGAATTGTATCTGGAATGTACCAGTGGTACCCGTGCAGTGTCTGGAAGAGCTACTTGCCTACTATCCATTGACTGGTAGCATTTCTGTCCGGATATGTGAAATTTATTCAAAATGAATGTACTTCTCGACTATCTATTAGTGTTAGATAACTTTGCTAATATTATCAGGAATATTTTTGGAAGTCACTTTAGATTTTCTTTATTTGAAAATCCTTGACTGAATGACATTGCCATTTTGTATCCCTTGTGGTGAAAGAATCACAGTCAAGCATGCCCTGCTTGACTGTATTGACTTTTCCATCAGCAATAACTATTTCAACACTTCATCCATGAAGGATCTTTTTGATAATGTCAGTTTTCATTTACTAATTTTTTTTTTTTAAGAATGGAATTCTTTCAGTATCCTCAAACAGGATTGAACTATTGTCCCCCTGAGAGGGTTCATAAGCCCATGTCATTCAAAGTGTTTTAATTGTAGAATATGTGTCTGTATAAGACATGGCTAAATTTGACAAAATCACTGTAAATCCAGCTATGGTTCATGGAGATAGCAAAAGTCCCAATTATCTCTGGTATGGTGATCTACCTTCAATTGTTGGTGATCTGTAGCCCTTTTTTATAATTTGTTGTATATGGAAATATTGTTTTATGGATACCTGCTAGTTTTAAATTTAAACCCGTGATATTCTTGCATCTGGTATGTACCAGTGGTAAGTGGAATAAAACCATACTCATTCACTCACTCAACTGAAGATATTTCCTTTGATGGATGTGTGATTGACCTGTTTGAAAAGCACCCCCAGTTCATTCCATGAATGACCCATGATGATCTGGGGTAGAATAGGTCTTCAGCAACCTATGCTTGCCACAAAAGGCGACTATGCTTGTCGTAAGAGGCGACTAACGGGATCGGGTGGTCAGGCTCGCTGACTTGGTTGACACATGTCATCGATTCCCAATTGCACAGATCGATGCTCATGCTGTTGATCACTGGATTGTCTGGTCCAGACTCGATTATTTACAGACCACCGCCATATAGTTGGAATATTGCTGAGTGTGGCGTAAAACTAAACTCACTCACTCATTCCATGAACACTCAACCATGACACTGAGAAAGAAGGGGGTGTCCTAACACTACAGCAGCTGCACAGTAGTAATTGTTAGATTGTGGTCAACATTCAACCACTCATAGGGTCCCAGGAAGTAAACACTACAGCAGCAGACCTCAACATCCTCCTTAAAAGTTAAATGTGAACAGATATGCCAGCCATCATTAGGGCTGCAACGATTCACCCAGACCTCGATTTGATTTTCGATATTGGACCCTTGATTCGATTTTCGATATTGGTCCCTTGATTCGATCATTTTGATTCGATTCTTCATACAAGTAAAAACATCAGATTTCATTTAACTCTCAGAGTTTATTAAACAAAACATATCACACTGAAAACCTTTTCCAAGATTTGACAAGGAAATCAGGAATGTAAATGATGTAGCCTTTTTCAAACAAATCAAATATGATGACAGAACAGCACTCAAACATTGAATCGAAATAGTGATAATGGCTATCTATAATCGAAACTAAGGTGTCAGATTCAATTTTCGATGAATCGAGCTAATCGTTGCAGCCCTAGCCATCATGCCTTTTTAGTATTATGAAAACAGTTTTAACTGAGATAAAATGAACAAGCATGATTTGCTTTTTCACTACAGGTATTGGCACTTTACAGCTTGATTACAAATCACTTGGCTTATCAGAGGGGTACACAAAGTCCGCAGTCTAGACTACCAGTTGTCCGACTTCCATTTTTGTGGAAGCCGCAGAGGCTGAGCAGTCTAGGGGTCTGACTTTGTGTGCTGGCGATTAGGTGCCTGACTCTGAGGGTGTGGGTTCGAATCCCGGATGGGACTCAACCCAAAAAAGTACTAGAAATTGAGAATCAGTACTTTTCTGAGAAAGTGTAACTCCAAATATAACATATGTTACACTTGGTTTAGCTTTGTTAACGGGGCGGTGGGTAGCCTAGTGGTTAAAGTGTTGGCTCGTCACACCGAAGACCCGGGTTCGAATCCCCGGGTTCGAATCCCCACATGGGTACAATGTGTGAAGCCCATTTCTGGTGTTCCCCGCCGTGATGTTGCTGGAATATTGCTAAAAGCGGCGTAAAACCAAACTCAGTCAGTTAGCTTTGTTAACAGATCTATTTTTACTTGGTTGGGTAAAACAATGGTGTGCAAAAGATCAACTTCAAGAGAGCCTTACAGTTAATAAATGAAACAAGGAATAAAGATTATATTTCTTTTTAATTACTATGCTTTTTACACCAATTAACCCAGATTTTTGTTATTGCATCAATTGAGAGGGTAGAATGGGGTATCTTTTTGTGTGTGATTCATTCTGTTGGATGCTTTCTTTTTCACTGAAGCATGAAATCATTATGAAGTTGAGCTTATGCACCTATTGACTTGAAATGTGAATGCCAGCTGAATAGCACAACTGATACCTTAAAGCCGTTTGTTTTTTTCTAATTGCCCATGTCAGAATTAGGTCTTGCAACATGCATTGTTAATTTGAAACTGTTTGCTTTTTTATGTAATTTAATGTGTATCTGATTTGTTTGTCAGGAAACTCAGCGTTTGCAACAAGAGCCAGTGCCAGGTATTCATGCCTGCCCTGACGATAGAAATGCCAGATATTTCCACATAGAAATTGCTGGGCCGTCTGAGGTAGGTACACTGGAACACTACAAACAGTTATCATTAGGGCTGTTCGGATTCTCTGGTATATTCGGTGAATCAAATTGGATCCCTTCATGAATTAAGTTTGTTATTTGCAATCACTAGAATACATTTTTATGAATTTTATGAATTTTTTTAACTTGAATTTGAGCGTTATTTAATTTAGATATGGTAAATGGAGTATATACATGCCAGGATAATAGTTAGGGGTGAAATGGTATACCGCAGTATTAGTGAAACCGCAGTATTGTCTTCAGTTAGGTATACCACAATGCAATAAAAAAATCGGTATTTTCAGTTTTCGTACCATCATTTTATTAACCTTTTTAATCTACGCATTTCTTTGCTCGACGGCTGCTACTTTCCCAGAACTAAGCTCTCATATACCTAACCGAAACAGATCGAACCGAAGGCCTTGTACCACCATGCATACTGACTCACCCCTAATTATAGTCAACAATTTGCTTAATAGTGGATTCATTATAGCCTAGTGGTTAAGCATTCGCTCGTTACACTGAAGACTCGGGTTCGATTTCCTCCATGGGTACAACTTTTGAATCCCATTTCCGGTGTCCCTTGCAGTGATATTGCTGGAATATTGCTAAAAGTAAAAGCGGCATAAAACTAAATTCGCTCACTCTAAATGACCACAATGAAATTGAATGGACTAACAGATTATCAGAGTTTAGTCCCCATTTAGGTAATATGTTTTGAAAGTTTCTGGTATCAGAGCTATAGTTTTATGATTTAAGCAACAGCAGAAGAACATATGTAACTTCTGTATCAGTATTACCCATGACTGATAATGCTGGTTTGTTTCAGTCCCCATATGAAGGTGGTATTTTCAACATGGAACTTTTCCTACCAGAAGAGTATCCAATGGCAGCGCCTAAAGTACGCTTTCTCACAAAGATATATCACCCTAATATCGACAAATTAGGAAGAATTTGTTTAGATATTCTTAAAGGTGAGTAGACAATAAAATGTTAAATGGATAGTGACCAATCTACCAAAAATCTCTTTATGTAATCTCAGAAGTCCTTTGGAAAATCTGAGTAATAACATTCATTCAGTCTAACTTGATTGCATGTCATCATATTCCAACATATTGGATTGATGCTCATGATGCCAGTCCCCAGATTTCCTCATCCAGACTTGGTGCTCTACCGAACACTGTCATATAGATGCAGCTGAGTTGAATGTTGGTGTCAGAATTCTGTAAATCATGAAATTAATGCTTCACGATTTTAGTGCGAGTGCGAGGGTCTAGACTAAAATGCGCTACGAAATTAATGCGAGCTCAGGAATCTGTGTTGATGATAAAATGTGACATCCTGAATCTTTGGTGTTATTCATTTTCTTTTCACACTTGTTATTTACCAAATAACCTGAATTGAGCTTGTTATGCAATGAATGGAAATGAGCTGACGAAGTTTTGATTACGCTGCCTTGTTTGATCACGTGATTGCTTGCTACTACTTGTCTTATGGCAACATGTATAAACGTAATCCGACTTGAAAGACACAACTCATCTACCACTCGGGTACAACAAACAAGTGGCTGGAGAATGTCCGATCTGGCTGATGTGCTTGAATGACTTTAAACAATGACCAGTGATTGTAACCAGTGATAATTACATGTGGCTTGAGATACCTGTAATGAGGAAGTGACCTGTATTGGTGTAATGTGTAGTGTCAACAGATTTACGTTTTCTGTCTGTTATAATGTTCTCAAAAGTAGACATGGTCAGACTGAAATGCATCATTATAATAATGTGAGATTACTGAGAAGAGTACAGAGGCATTTTTTCGCATTAATTTCATGATTTACAGTACATGATAGACCTTCCAGCTAACTTACTCTATGAAAGAAGGAAAGTTGAAGATTGAGTTGTTACCGGAAGGTCATATCTTCACAATTAATTGCACAGGTACATAGAACCTGAAAACAATAAATCCTGGGTATGCAAATGAGCCTCCATGATCTGGAGGATAGAGCATCTGCCCAGAGAGCTGAAGCTCAATGTTTTAGTCCATGGCTACGTCATACCAAAAGATATTAAGAGATGCTACATATTGTTGCCCTGCCTGGTGCCCAGCACTTAGCTGTTTGGAGTCTTAGTCTAGAGAGTATTCATGTTAAACTGTGACATGGTATTTCAGTGGGCTGGGACAATTAATCCAGTATTGGTCCAGGCTGGTATAAATAGCCACATACACTGATACAGGCACATGTTTGCATGGCAAAACATCGTGTATGTTTACTGTTGTATGTATACAATACATTATCCCAGTAAGGAATTCTAAGCAGACCAAAGGATGTTGTTTTACTTATTGTGATGTACCTAATAAGCTGATCTTTCAATATCACCTTGAAAGAGTTGGAGGTGTCCTGTTACTTAAGTATCAAATGTCTTGATCTGGGGTATTTGCACTATTTGTGATATTAACAATCACAACAACAGCAACTTCTGTGACTAAACGTGTGCAGGTATCAAACAAAAGTTATTCCACAGGGTATAACTGGTAGCTAAACGTACAAATTCGCCCTCCAGTTTCAGTGCTTGTGTCAATGTCTGTTTCAAACAGTTGATGCCATTTGGTGTAAGAGCAACCTAGACTCAATAGAAAACATGAAGAGCTTTCACTGGCATTACTGGCTCGCTCTGGTTGTTAGGAAGTCTTTTTGACAGTCAAAAACCTCCAGTCTTCAAGTAACTTGTGAGGACTACCGTCCTGACTTTGGTTGTCAGCTATATTAACGTCATCACATTCAGCATCCTTAACTCAAACAAGTTGTCATTTACAAAACAAACAAGGTTTCTCCACTTTTGATGAAGATATTTTGTGATTTTTACAATGATACACAACATTGTTCCTCAAAATATGTCAAGTGCATATTTAAATATATCTTAAATGTTTTGTTTTTCCTTATCCTGACTCATGCTTATTATGCTTGTCTCCTCCTATGCGAATGATAGTGGAACACTTGAAATCCCTTGTAGTTCCCTTTAAAGCGGACGTATAAGTACACTCACCCACGAGTTGCCTCCCTTGCATAGTTTCCTGCCAAAACAGTCACATGACTAACCATGCTTGTCACTCTCTCCTCCATCGCCCTGGTGGATGGTTGTGGGAACTTGGGAGTCCCTATACGGCACTAATATCCTTTTATATTTCGACCCCTTAGCCCAAATTTAGCTGTATACGGTTTTCGGTCTGTATTATTATTCAGTGTATATAGGAATTATGTTCAAATTTATGTAAATAATGTTGCTTTCATCACATGTATTTGTTGTTTACATTTGATGAAATCGTGTTCTCTTTGCAGGCACCGACTGTCTGCGGCTGATCCGCACCCCCTTTGTCCTTGTACTAATCAATGTTCTCCCAGCTCTCGCTGTCAATATTGTATAAAATTTTCTACGTTTTAATTTAATAACTATTTGTTGGCCTTATTTAGATGTGCTAAGGACAAGGTGCGGAATTATCACAAGGCATGGCGGATAAAACGAGAGATAACGTCAGTAACCGTGTGTTGTCATCTGCAAATGAAACTAATGTTTCTAGTGATTTGCTGGGTTCGTCACAAGAGCAGACCTCTGTTATGAGGAAGAGGACTGCGTCGGCAGAGTTGGCTTCATCACAGTCTAAGAAGCACAAGTCGTTATCTATGAGTTCACAGAAGAAGACGTCTGCGTCGAAATCGTCTTCGAAGTCTTCCAGTTCTACTAGACCTGTTCATCAGACGTCATTCAACGAAGATATCGAAGAGGCAGAAATCTTCGACGACCCGCTGATTTTGCTGCCAGAAGTTACCTTAGTCAGCAAAGTGTCACAGCAACAGTTGTCGGCCAGATCTACGTCTTCTGCCGCTTCATCAGCGCAGCAGATGATTAGAGATTGTCCGTCAGCGTCGCAGACATCGGGTGCCAGAGAGAACATCAGCGTTTCTTCACTTCATTCACAATGCAGACTAGAAGATGAGGCCACATTCTTGGATGCGTCATCTACTCCTCATCAGTCAGCAAAGAACTTTGACCAGGGTGAATGGAGTCCACACCACAGGATGCAGCACTCGTGAATCATCAGTCAGCGAACACAGCAGTTGCAGATCATCATTTGACGGATGCAGTCACGATGCAGGATCACCAGCGTTCGAGAAGGTCTTCACCTGCTGAGGATTCAACGTTCTGCAGTCGTGAGGGATCCACGAATGTCAATGAGGAGGATACAGTTCGAGAACGTCGCCGTTCCATCTCCAGGGAATCTCCTCCGAGCCACCATGAACGCACCACGTCAGTATCAAGCAGATCCTACAGTCTTAGATCTACTTCACCGGCCTGCAGGGAGTATCGTTCTCGAACAAGAGATTCCAGCCGTGATGAGCATTCGCGAAAGGAGGATCCTAGGAAGGACTCGCCATTGGAGCATACGCGAAGAGATTCGCGAAGACACAGCTCGTCAGACAAGGATGAAGAGAGCGATGGGATGGATCGTGAGTGGTCTCGATTTAGCATCTCCATCCAAGGAACGGAATGAAGCACTCACTTACAGAATGTTTGATGATGACTTTGATTCGCTCACGATCCCGCCTATTGAACCCATCGTAGGAGTCCCAGCAAGCCTCAGTCTAGCCTTCGTAAAAGCAACGAAGTCACAGAACCAGCATGTTCCAGTTTTTAATGCGCGAAGATTCCCTCTTCACCACATGAGCCATTTATGAGAGCGCCCGACTTAGATGAGAATTACAGACTTATCAACGATAGCCGCAGTAAACTATATAAAGTGGATGATAAAAAGATTGCACAGTTGGATACCACAACTAGACACACATTCTTCGGACTGGTGGTCATTGCAAAGTTCCAGAACTCTCGTGATGAAGAGGATAGGATGTTTTTATCTGCACTTCTCACCCAGAAGAGGGATCAACAATTCATGTCGGACCACTTGGCATCTACATCTGCGGGCCTTACGCTGTTAAGAAGACAGGGTCTTTTATCATCCTGCAACTGGAGCGAAAGATATACCAAGTCACTCCTGAGAGTACCATGGTCAGCCCCCACTCTTTTCGGCGGAGGAATTGAAGAGGTTGCCAAAGAGGTCACTCACGACTCTAGAGAAGTGATGATGATTAAGCCGATCGACACCTTAGCGAATGTCATCCGCCAGACGTCTCATCGTTACAGCAACAAATCCAAGTTTGCGAATATCCAGAAGGCCAAGGAGAGGAAATATTCTAGTTCCAGAGGAGCCAGAGGTTCTTTTCGTCGGCCAGCCGGGAATACCAGGAATGCCTCGGGGCGAGGACATGTCCCTAGAGGTTCCAGGGAGTCGAGACGTTGAAGAGTGGATTCGGAACGACAGTCTTCCACCCCCAGCCGTTCCTGTGCAACCATCGACAGTGGGTGGACGTTTGCAGCGCTACACACATCTGTACGTGGATGCGTCGCTACAAGGATGGGGAACACACCTCCAGAGCAAGGTAGCTGCAGGAAAGTGGGTCGGAAAGGGAACGAAATCTGCACATCAATCAACTAGAGATGAAAGCAGTCATCAACGCCTTACAACATTAGTCGAAGTCTCTGATCAACAAAGCATTGACAGTGCACACGGACAGCTCCACAGTGGCATTTTACATAAACAGACAAGGCTCAACAAGATTAGCAAGTCTGCTACATCTCATATTTCAGCTGTGGACAAGCTGAACATCTGGATAAAGGCGTGTCGTATTCCCGGAGCAAAGAACATTCTAGCAGATGCTCTGTCTCGGCCACAGCAACCATCCCCGACAGAATGGATGCTTCATCCGGAGGCGCTTCGTCTCATCATAAGGACGCTAGGATCTCCACTTATAGATCTATTTGCCACAAGGTTCAACAGGCAGATGCAGACGTTCGTCTCACGGTACCAGATCCGCTAGCATGGACAACAGACGCATTGAACATGTCAGGGGAAGGACTAAACACATACGCTTTTCCAACATCGGTTCTAATCCCGCAAGTACTCTAGAAAATCAGGCAGACTACTGTCCTCCAACTGATTTTGGTCGCGCCCTTTTGGCCAGCGAGAGTGTGGTTTCCTGATCTCATTCAAGAACTAGGAAATCCAAACCTGAAACAACCAGAATGGCCGAACCTACTGGTTCATCTGCACACCAAGCAAGTTCACGGGAATCCGGCATGTTCCAGCTTCAAGCATGGACAATGTCAAAACTTGCTTGAGGAAGAGAGGTTATTCCGCCAGAGCAGCGAAAGCGGTCACTCTAGCTCTTCGCAGATCTACTCGCAACCTGTATGATGACAAATGGCAGAGGTTTCAACAATATGCTCGGCGCAAAGGTTTCACAGCAACGAAAGCATCTCATCCTCAAGTGGCAGATTACTTATGTCATCTACGACAGACTAAGAGATTGAAAGGTTCGACCTTATCCACGTACTTGGCGGCTATTAGCTCAGTTTTGACCATGAAGACAGGCAGCAACTTGACAAAAGTACTAGAACTACTGGCCTTATTACGTTCCTTTAAGCTGGAGCATCAGCAAAAGAAATATAAGGCACCTGCGTGGGATCTCAATGTAGTACTACAACATCTCACCAATGATACCTACGAGCCGTTAGAGCAAACGTTACTCGAACTACTTACACAGAAAACATTGTTTCTACTCGCCTTAGCCACGGCAGCCCGAGTATCAGAAATACATGTGCTGGATTTTGGACGAACTCGGTTCGACACAGGACATCATGCGGCAGCACATTTTGTGGCAAAGAATCAGCTACCTGGTCAACCAGATAGACAGTTTCATGTACCAGCCTTATCAACAATCCTCGGACAGGAGGATGTACAGGATTTATATCTATGTCCCGGTTAGAGCATTGAAAATTTACCTTAACCGGACAAGAACAAGGAGACAAAAGTTCAAGGGCCTGTTTATACCGTTGTCTACAGAGACATCCACAGAAGTCTCCCGAACAACAATATCAGTATGGATGAGAGCCGTTATACTAAGGGCCTACAAAGCAGCAGGATTGCCACCTCCAAGTGCATCCAACCCACACGAAGTTAGAGCTTTGGCGTCTACTCTCGTTCTGCATGGGAATTGCTCAGTAGTATCAATAATGGAAGGCTGGTTTTGGAAATCAGATACGATGTTTGCCAACCACTACCTGAGAGATATTGCCACCGAAGACGTCTCCGGCATTCACCAGTTTGGGCCATTTGTTGTTGCACAACAACTAACGGTTGCACAGAGGCGTTGAATAGAAAATCTCACCCTCTTATCATGTAACTTGCTGATAACCTTCACTCTGGAGAGTCTTGGTTGAGAGTCCATGTTTACGTCTAAAACAGACCAACATGAGTGATTTAGACCTTGTACGCGTACGGAAATACTTGTACGTGAGAAGGGTTGTAACTCTTACGATAAGAAGATACTTCTTACATGAGTTATTATAGATATCTAGCAAGGATACACTAGTATATCTTAAATCCACATGAATCGTAGATTCACTTGTCTTAAAGAAGTCTGACAAGATGTGGTAACCCCAAGTTGGCAGATGGAAGTTGGAAGAACACTATTGCCAAGAAGTGCCGTATGATAGTTCCCATGGGGGTAGATACAGGACGTATCTAGGACAGCCAATAAATCCGGAGAAGGTGACCTGACCCACCACCAATCCATCAGATTCTGGAAGCATAATACGCATGAGTCAGGATAAGGAAAAATATGTAATTTTCTGGATAAAATTGATATTTTATACTTATCCTGACTCACGATGTCAAGCCCTCCCATCTTGCCCACTAATGGCACTTTGGATTTCACGGTAAATCCACGTGTCGGGCATATTATGGAGAGAGTGACAAGCATGGTTAGTCATGTGACTGTTTTGGCAGGAAACTATGCAAGGGAGGCAACTCGTGGGTGAGTGTACTTATACGTCCGCTTTAAAGGGAACTACAAGGGATTTCAAGTGTTCCACTATCATTCGCACAGAAGGAGGAGACAAGCATAATAAGCATGAGTCAGGATAAGCATAAAACATCAATTTTATTCAGAAAATTACATATTGCTATTGAAATGAGAGGAGCATAGTCAACTTATACAGATATTCCCCAGATGATGGTACTGATCAGGTTGACGTTTTGTGGAAATGGTAAACGGGTGATCTCGCTTCATACTGAAGATGATGTTGTGTCTTGTTTGTGTTACAGATAAATGGAGTCCAGCTCTTCAGATCCGAACTGTCCTTTTATCCATCCAAGCTCTTCTTAGTGCGCCTAATCCTGACGATCCCTTGGATACAAATGTAGCAGACAAGTGGAAACAGAATGAGAAGGAGGCAGTTGCAACAGGTTAGCTACGTATGCTGCATGTCACTGGGAATCTGATATGGGTTCTTTGGGGCACAGCAACACTAGTATATAATACATGCCAGAATTATATAACCTGAACGTCATGGTTCCTCATCTGGACAAGTTGACAAAATCATGTAAATGACTGTATGATCTTCCTGATGGTGAAATGTGATGCTCATAATATATACCATATGTTTACCTTGCCCAGACAAGACTTTTTACACAGAAAAGATAAAACTTGTGTTATTGGAGATATGTAAAAAGTCACTCTTGCCATGGTACTTTTAATTGATTATTGGTAATCTGAGTAACTGGCTATTGTTAATTCACACAGAATTGTTATTTAGAAAATAAATCTACCCAGAGGCAGTCACATTTGACAGCTTCAAAACATTAAGTATTCTTCTTCAGGACAATGTTTTTATGATTCAGTATTATTTGGTGGATGTTATTTTCTACAACTGTTTGGTTGTGAATGCGTTTTCTTTGTCACTGTTCTACTCTCTTTTTTGGTTTCTAGCAAGAGAATGGACCAAGCTATTCGCTGTAAAAGAGCAAAGGCCCAACAGTAACCAAAAATGATGGACTTGGGGAGGTTAAGACAGCCATCACCATGCGTAACACTCAGCACATTGGACTTATGAATTCCTGTACAGATGCGCCATCAGATAATGAGTACGAATTTATGACAGCCCATCATGTATTCATAAGGGAACATGTTTCGTATTTCAAAGGTGACTTGTGAGGATTTTTCCATTGACATCGACCTGTTGCTAGGAGTATTTCTCTAGGTAATTTACGCACTGAGTCACAGAGTAAAGTTGACCATCCTGTGTCTTTCTGTCAAATAAGTAGGGATAATTTCATCAGGAGAGCATCACTGTAGTATATTACAGCTCACATATATCAAGGAAACTAATTGAAGCCAGATTTTATTGTCTTGTCGGAAACTGCTAGCCTTTCTCAAAACGTTTTCTTTCTCTTTTCTTTTATCTTGCAAGATGCACGGCAAATAACCTTAGCTTTTGCCGAAGCTATTTATTTTGGTTTGTGTATATGTCTCTCAATGTTGTTTACAAATCTATGACATCAAAATAAATATCATTTCACAGAATCATGTTGGTTTTTTATTTGGATTCCACTGCTGTAGTCAGCTGTGACACTTACCATGTGCATCTTTGTCAATCAGGCTCTGGGTATTGAATGATAATATTGACTGTTATGCCAATTGTATTTTAATTCTTTCCAGAGAGGTCATTATATATCTTCTATATGTCTTCACCATACTTTGAATACATACCAACCTAGGGATGAAGTCATACCTTTGAGGGATTTTGGAACCAAAAGGTCAAGACTGTTTGACTTTACAGAGCCAGTAACTTGAAAGGCTGTCCTGTTTTCATGGACGTATATGGGCATGTCTAGAAGCACTCTAGAAGCAGTCATGGTTAGGGTCATGATTTGTATGAAGAGTGGTATCATACCTGGTAATGGTTGCTTCTTTAGTTTCTTGATAAAGATATAGTGTGGTAGCCATGTTTTCAGACTGATAGTGCATTACGGTATTGTAAGATTTAGGAATCTCTCAGTAAGTTGTGATGAAGTTGTCTGCATCTGTTCCTGCAGTTACTTGCTAACTCCTTGTGTTTAAGTATATGTCATGTTTAGATGATTTCAGGGATTCAGGGGAATTGCATTTAGATTAAGAAATGAGGTTTTTCACAAATGAAAAGAAGGTGATTGAGGTGAAAATTGGTATAGATGATGATCAATTTCTGTCAGGAAGTTTCATCTTTTCCCAACTTTGGCCATTGTTGACAGTTTTGCAAAAATAAGATATATTACATGTCAGAAACTGCTTTGCAAAATGTTGATCAATGAATATAAGTGTGTACTAATGCCTAATGCAAGTTACGTTGAGATCACAATCCTCCCACATCAAAATAATCCTCTTTAACCCTTCTTTATATGGCCAGTGAATGGGGACAAACTGCAGATTTCACAGTTACATTTGGCTCACTTAGTACCTGATGAACAGCTTGGCCTTGGTGCTGTTTTATTGGAATTAGCAAAGATACACTTCCCTCTGGGACCTCGTGGATTGCTCCATCATGGCTATGTGTCACCACACCCTAAAGGCTTAGATCTTTGTTCTTAAATCCATTACTGGTTACCCGGTCCTGTCTCTGGCCACAGGCGGTAGGTGGAATATTGAGTGAATGGTTAAACATGCAAGAAAACAAGTTGGAAAAGCTGACTTTGCAGAACTCCCACTAAATATGCATGTGTTTTTATGGTACAGACAACATTAAATACTGGCTTTGTGGATTCAAGAGGAGATAAGGCCCTGAGTAGCTTTGGTCTGTTACAGTGAGTGAGTGAGTTTAGTTTTACCACAGCTTTTAGCAATATTCCAGCAACATCACGGCAGGGGACACCAGAAATGGGCTTCACAAATTGTGCCCATGTGTGGAATCGAACATGGGTCTTTGGCGTGATGAACGAAAGCTTTAACCACTAGGCTAGCCCACCGCCTCTGGACTGTTTCAAACTACATTATTTACATGTTTTCTCAGTAAGATGGAGTACTGCCACAAACATGCAAAAATGGAAGGTAGGTTACGCCAGTTCCTATACAGACAAGAATAACTGCTGATCAATACATATCAAATACTTGTACTTGTATGGAAGGGGCAGTGGGGTAGCCTAGTGGTTAAAACGTTCGCTGGTCATGCGGAAAACCGGGTTTGATTCCCAACATGGGTGCAATGTGTGAAGCCCATTTCTGGTGTCCCCCGCCGTGATGTTGCAGGAATATTGCTAAAAGCGGGGTAAAACTACATTCACTCACTCACTTGTATGGATTTTTCTAGTAATCTTCTTCCGTGAATTGGTAGGTGTGTACTTGTCAGGAAAATTATTCAAATACCGGTATACACTTAGAAAATGTAACTAAGTCTGTATTTCTAAAGTAAATAGTTACTGTTCCGAAGGTGTAGATAATGATCAAAGTGAGATGGATGAGGCATCTTGATTTCCAAAAGATACATGGAAGTATGAGATCCACGAAAATACAGAGATGCTTGTAGAATATACACACATTGTCAAGACCCATCCACCTTTTTATATACAGTAAAATACCTTTATAACAAACTCTAAGGGACCACTGAAATTAGTTCATATATCTGTAGTTGGCTATTCACTTTTTTATTTGATAATAAAGAAAAAAGAAACCACATTCTTTCTTCAGGGCACTATAAAAGAACAAGAGATGGTAAGATGGTTAAATTGTTATTATTTCATTGCTGAGATCTGTGTGAAGTACTCCATACACTGACAGTGCCATAATCAGTTCGATTAGGCTACACCGCCGTTCCAAAACATGGGTATACAGAATGTCAAGTCACAAGAATAAAAATGCGAAATTTCTCTGTTCAATATCGTCTATGGCCGCCCCGCGCATTCACCACTGCCAAACACCGTCTCCTCATCGACTGCCTGATGCTTGTGAACACGTGGTTGGGGATTCTGTGCCGATGCTCTTCCAAGGCAGCGCCAAGTTCCTGCAAATTCTGAGGTTGGTTCCTAAGACCACGAAGCCTTCTCCCAAGTGCATCCCAAACATGCTCTATTGGATTAAGGTCAGGGGACCTCGATGGCCAGTCCATGACGTTGATTCCAGCGTTTTGAAGGAAATTTCGTGTCAACATCACGGTATCGCGGCCGGGCATTATCATGCTGGAACTGTAGACCTGGGCCATGAGCCGCCATGAAAGGAACGCGAGTTCAGGGTGAGCACCTGGTCGCGACAAGCAGCAGCTGTGAGGTTTCCTCGGATGACCAGAAGTCGGGAACGGTTGTTCCCACAGAAAGCACCCCACACCATGCAACTTCTGCCCCGAATCTGTCGACTTCCTGTACACAACATTGGGCATACCGTTCGCGGCGACGTCGTCTCCAGGCTCGATGCCTCGCCGTCCGGCGAATCTGAGGGTAAACCTGGATTCATCGCTAAAGGCGACTCGATTCCAGTCTCTCTGGGTCCATCGGAGGTGCCGTTGGGCCCACAGCAGACGTTGACGTTGATGAAACGGCGTCAATATTGGCCCACGATATGGACGTCGAGAATGGCGATTGGCAGCCCGCAACCGATGTCGAATGGTCTGTGAGGACAGTCGACCTCTAAACATCTCAGCCCTGGTTCGTGTAGCTGGCAGAAATCTGTCACGTAGGTGACGTAGGACGATTTGACGGTCTTCTGCTCGTGACGTCACACGTGGACGACCCGACCTTTGGGCGATCAGAAGTGGTGCCAGTTTGTTGTAGACGACCTCGCAAGTCATACACAGTACGACGGCTGCATCCCATTGCTCTTGCGACGTCAATAACTGATCTTCCCGGTTGCAACATGCCAACGGCACGTTCACGTTGCACATTTGACAATCGTGGCATTTCAAGTACCGTTAGAACTGTTGTTTAAAAGTTTTTTCAATTCTTGAGGCCAATGCAAACACGTGCATATGAAGAAAACTTCGATGCGAAGATCACGTGATCGACTGCACGTGCAAAACCTGATTTGGCACTAACGTCATTTGCACGACGAATGGATGGGTTTGAGTGGGTTTTGCTAACGTTTTTCTTGAGTCGAAAGATTGGGATCCCATTTCGGATACATAGATGTATCATCAGAGAAAAATTATTCATTATTTTTCAAATTACATTTTGTGAAGTTTCTTTTTTGACTCAGTATATAAGGTTTATTCCTGACTTTTGAAACATTCGCTATAGCCGTCAGTTCGTTATATCTGTGTTCGCTATAAAAGTATTCTTCTGTATGTACTAAAACACTTCATGTATATGCCTTGAAGATCAAAAGCAGCCTATTAAAATGGCAACTGTTACTGGCAATCTGAGAGTTAAGACACCAAACCGTGAATAACAACAATGGTCACCATGACTACACCACCAATGTTATTGTCACACAGTTCTTGATTTTTAAGAAATAATTATTGTTGGGGGTGGGGTGGGGGTGTCTCTTGCTCGCGCTCGGCGTAGACGATATAGTCCCAAGATATTCGGTGGGGCTCCCTGTATTGTTTTGACGGCTCGAGAACAGCGAGGTCCAGTGTTGTCATCCATGAATATCGGGCGACTGGCAAGGAGATGGTTATCATGATGTGGCACGAAGACGGTATCCAGTACTTCCTCCTTCTCAGGGTACTGGCGGCGTCTGACACACATACGTCTCTTTTGCTGGTACAGGTCACGGGATAGTCTGTCTCACAGTCCCTGAACAACATTATTTTCCCTGCTGCCTAGCCTTCTCTGCAATGCAAAAGCCCTAAATGAAGCAAGTCTAGATTACCTCAGGTTCTGAATCTCATCTCACTGGGGCTCCTTTTCAATTTAAATGGGTTTGTTTGACACTATCAAAGTTATATGCAATCAGAAAATAATCGTTAGTCTAGTCACGGGATTGCGTCTTGTCACACGAATTAGGTTCAATACGGTCATTGTCATCTTCAGTGTTCCAGGTCACGGACGATCCTTTACTCCACCGGTGTTGACTTAAAGCCGTGCTGTCAATGTTTAAATTACATCCATGCGTCATATGATTGCCAATAACTTGCCATCGTGTATTTTCTGAAAGTCAACGTCTTGCCATTTCTTTTGTTTCTGACATTTCAGAAGCACGACATAGTCAAAACTTATCTCTCAAAACAATTGACAAAAACGTGTACAGCCCCGGTTTGTTAGTGTTTTATGAAAGAAAATACACTAAGAACCGCTTTCACATTTCTTAAGAAATTACTGATATCTTCATTTGTTTAAAAGATCTGTTATATTTGAACATATTAATGACGTTTTTAAAATATCAATCTTTGAAGATATCGTTAATCTCTGATTTAATTTCTGATATCACGAAATTTATTTCAGATATCTGTTTACAATTACCTTTATTCGAGATATATTTAAGTCATTTCAAGAATCGATTCTGTTCAGGATATCTCTAACTGAATTCAAGATATCTTTAAAATAACTAAAGATAGCAGTAATGTGGAAAGGGCTTGCCATACTCGTTGACTCTGTTGATCACTGGATTGTCTGGTCCAG